TCTTTTATGGTTCCACAGCCCACGTGCTTCTATCCGTTTCAACTGCATGTGTGCTAAAATTGTCTTCACTGCTGAACTCCAGTCTTCTTTTGGACAAGGTCCATACTCATGTACTCAGTGTGCGCCTGTGGACTCTAATAACATTCGTGATACATGGTGATATATATGTGTTTGAGTTACTGATCAGACTAGAAGACACTGGAACTCAATACTGTGTTTATTTTATTGGTAAAATTCTACTACAGCCTTAGACAGCATTAGAAAAAAGAACGGTACATGATCGGAAAAGAGAAGAAAAAATCCACAAAATAACACAGGTCGTTTTAAGTACTAAGCAAAAGTTTATATAGTTTAGAAGACTTAAAAATACTTCAAAACAAGAACTTGGTGCCAGAAATGCACTTGGAAATGATGGCAGCTTGGTACTGGCAGGCTCTGCTTGAACCTGCTGCATGTATGCATTGAAAGAGACTCCAGGGTGTTCATGCATTTCCCATCAGATAAAATATATAGAAGGAACAAAGAAATTATGTCAGCCAAAGTTAAAGCTAACCTGCACAGATCTTTTACTGTAGCAAAGTCAGGGGATTATCAGCTCACAGAAATACACAAGGTAGAAATCGTCCTCCGGGTCTACCTACATGCCATCAATTCCTTTCTTAGGAACAAAGAGCATTGGAGTAGGAATTAGAAGAGAAAGTGGAATTGGTTAACAAGACGTGTATCTGAGCATTTGCTCTTAGAAGCTGTCTAATGAGTTTGTTTTAACTTAAAAGCATTCTGAGTCAGCTGTGATCATTTTTTGATTTTGTAAATGAAGAGACGCAAATGGTATCCAAAGTTTGTGTGTATGTGTGTGCTGTTTTTGTTTCTTTGATGTTTAAAAACTTGTTCTTCTGTATTTGCAGCAATAGGCCCCTCTAGAAATTATGACAAACTTATACAGACCTTTAGCCCCACAAATGATAGCAAAGAAACCAACATTTATGGGGTTCTGTGTCCTGTAGTGTGAATCCTTTTACCTCGCAGTCAGTTGAGGGTAAGAGTAAAGGGCCCAGTGTTTCACAAGAAAATGACCTCAGCCTCTAGGCCAATTGCTGTGGATCCTAGCTGATGACACGTTTGCCTTTCAAAGGGGAGCTGCTGCTTCAGCATCCTCTCCTGGAGCTCTTGGCAAGGTTTCAGGCCATGTGTCAGGGGAACCCTTGCGCACATCACAGTGATGGAAGCCAAGTGCTGGCCCAGAAGTATTGAGCACTACAAGTTCACAAGGGAGTTAAAACAGACCCAGGGGTGTTACATAGTTCAAGGGTGTCTTGAAGAACATCGAAGCTGCCATGGGAGAGACTGCCAAAGTCTCAAGTTATTTCTCAGTTGTTCTTCCATGACCCTTTCCTAGCCTATATGGAGTTTAACCAATGGTTTTTGGTTGGGTGTTTTTCTCTTTTCTTAGCTCCTTGAGGTAGCAAGATTTTGAACAGTTAAATAGAAGAGTTTTCATAGATTTTTAAGTGGGACCACAGAATATACACCTCTCTAGGGGGTATTTTATTAATGAATGCAGTTATGTGTTCTTGGTAAAGGCCAAAATTAAACTTGTTCATTGTTTTTGTCCTGCTAGCTGTAGATGACATTTAGGTGTGTTGTTTGGTATGGTGACTCAATTTCCTGTAAGATAGCTGGCAACTCCACATTGACACTTTTTTTTTTTCTTGGGAGGAATGTAAAGGTCAGTTACTCGATGTCTTGGAACACTTGGGGTCAAAATTCCTGAAAGTAAAGAGAATAATGATCCTGACAAAGTGCAGCTAGTCATAATGTCTCAAACTAGGACTCTGAATCAATTCTCAGCTCAACAAGTCTTCATTCCAGCAAAAGTTTTACAAAAGAAATTTGTTGCTTATTCTGTTATATACAAATACTTTCCACCTATGTGTACAAATGTTTTGAGTAATTTCATTCTCTCTCTCTCCCTCTCTCTCTCTCTTGCTCACTCGTTCTGAAAGCATATATAGAGAGAGCATGTTGAAGATGTTGGATATATATGTATATATGTATCATGTTGTGATCTTAATTCCTGATAGTCAAATGGTTAATCCCTGACTTGAATGTAAAGTAGATCATCTGAAATATATTGCTCCCTCCTGTCACTCTACCACTCTCTTAAAAACAAATCCTGAGTCGAATTGCACAACGTCTTGAAGCATTAACTCCAAGCTTTTCCACATTAAAAAAAAAGGCCAAAATATAATATGTGGAGCTATATTCTGCTCCACATATAAGGCCTGAATTGTACATCCAACTTCAGAAAACTTTAAGGAACTTAGTAAAGACAGAAATGGGAGTGCACACTGTGTACTGGGAGGCCCCTTGGAACACAGACTTTGAAACAGTTGTGTTGCAGGGGGCAGGGGCATAGAAAGCCAAGCCTTAGAGATGTACAGAGGCTGGCTTTGGATAACTAAAAAGATGGCAGTGAACAAATCCTACACAGTAGCTCTGTGTCCGAACTCACTGGATGTGCAAAATATGAATGACTCAAATGGTCATAAAAATAAGTTCTTTTCCTCCTACAATTTCATGTAACCCTATTTTACATAGTAGAGGGAGGAAACAAGCAACTGCAGAACTACAGTGGATGGGTGTCGTGGTACCTAGATAATGCAATACTTGCATATGGAATGGAATCTGTCTACTGAGCTATTGAATTATTGTCCAGAATCTTTAGGTTGTGGAATTACAAAGGACTGTCTATGTGTGTAATGTTTTATTTTTTTATAGCAAGCATAATCGGGAAAACTAAACAGATAAAAGTATTTTATGCTTACCATGTACAATTATCTTTAAAGTTGTTTCTTTTGTTAAAGAAATAAAAAGCATCAACCTTAAACTTCACTTGGCAAAGGTTTAGGCAGTTATTTACCTAAAGTATATTTACAGATGGCACAGGAAAAAAAAATATACAATAAAAGAGGAAAATTTTAATGCACAGCACTGGAAATGGAGAGCAAACAGTTCAAGAATATTTTATGACAAGCTCATAGCACATGTAATATACTAAGAAAGTTATTCTAAATTTTATAAATTTCATGGGGAAACCTATCAAGGAAATCCATTTCCACCATCCTGAGGTTCAATCCATAAAATTCTTTGTTGTGCCACTGACACCTGATGGAGTCTACATTCGGATGGAAGTTTTCCACCTCCAGGACCTGTAGATTAGAAAATGGAACAGGAGATCTCATGTGGGCTTTTTAATGTTTTCCTTTCTGCCAACAATTTTATAAGGTGGCCCTTTGGGGTTTGCATTTTTCTCTGAAGTGTCATCACTGTTCAGTTCTCTTGGAGTTCATCGGTTTAGGTGAAGTGCCCACAGTCCCTGCATTGACTTCTATCAACCGAACACACTTGCCCAGTAATGCCTTTGGGTCTTTTCATTCCCCCACGTTTGTAGTTTATTCTGTATGTGGTTGATAGGAACACTCTTCCAGACTTTGTGTCCTTAACACTCCAAGACCCTGGTGGTCTTGTGTGGTCCACAAAGGAAACACCAATGGAGGGCACGTGTAAACTCCCTGTGGTTCGTTTATGTTGCTGTTTCTTTAAGAGAACTCAGATAATTCTGAGTATGAAATGTAGCATATTGTCAATTTCTAAGGCGTTCTGACCTCACGACACTACGGTTTGCCTGTTTTTGTTCACCACAAATTTTAGACGTGTGATACTTAAGTGTTCCTGGGTACTGAGAATCTGCCCCTAACAGAAATGAACGTCCCATAACCCAGAGAAAATGAGCCCTGAGAAACTCTCAATCCTAAACCTGCAAAACCGACTGCATACGTCCTAAGTCACCTTGTGCATGTCTCCCGCCAGGCCCCGCCAGGCCCCTCCGCGCACTCTCTCGCAGGCGGCCGCCTGGGACGCTCAGGCTGGGGGAAGCGGGGCCGGGGACTCGGCGGGGCACGCGGGGTCCCCATGGGGCAGGTGCGCGGTCCGCACGCGCCTGCGCGCCAGGACTGCCGGAGCCCCGCCTGAGCCCCGCGTTGGGCACGACCCCGGAGGAGGGTGGCAGGCGCTCCACGCCGGGTTTTCCTCCGCTCTGGTGCAGACAGCCCCACACAACCCTGCACACACACACACACACACACACACACACACACACACACACACACTCACACGCACACTCACACACACACGCACTCGAGCGGCCGCGCCTCCCCGGCTGCGCTTCAAAGCGGCCGCCGCTGCTCGGGGCGATGCCACGGCGAGGTGGCGGGGCGGAGGGGAAGGACGCGGCGGGTGGCACGGCCGGCCTTTGGCAATCGGGAATCTTTTCGTAAGGGAATCGAGGAGGGGCCAGACAACGCCGAGGGCCGAGAGGGGCGTGAGGGGGAGTGTTCCCGGAAAGCCGCGGTGATGGAGCGGCGCTGCGCCCGCCGCCCGAGGACTTAAGCAAGAAAACAGGAAACGTGGTGGCCGCGCCGGCCGCGGCTGATTCATTCGCTTCGAGCGCTCTGCGCGAGCCTCGACAGGAGGGGCGGCCGTGGGGCCTCGGCTCCGGCCAGGGCAGCGACGACACCCGGCGGGGACCACTCGCCCATCCCCGGGCGGGCCCCCAGGCGCAAGCCACCCCGTCAGCATCCCTGCACCGGGACCAGGACATCCAGGACCGGGAATCCCACCCGCTGAAACTCGCATCGCGGTTATTCCGCCCTGCTCCCGGTGTCAAAGTTAGCCTGTCGCACTTTGCGCGCCCTCCCTGGAGGCCGATCTGCGACGTCAAGCTGGAGAAGCTGTGCCTCCCGGAGGCCGGTCACCCCGCTAGCCAAGCCTCGGCCCCCATCGCGCTGCCGGGCCCGACAATATGAAGGAGCAGCCCTCATGTGTGGGCACCGGGCATCCGAGCATGGCGGGGTATGGCAGGATGGCCCCCTTTGAACTCTCTGGTGGCCCCGTGAAGCGCTTGAGAACTGAGTCCCCCTTTCCCTGTCTCTTCGCAGAGGAGGCCTACCAGAAACTGGCCAGCGAGACCCTGGAGGAGCTGGACTGGTGTCTGGACCAGCTAGAGACCCTGCAGACCAGGCACTCCGTCAGTGAGATGGCCTCCAACAAGGTAAGCCCCTGAGCTGTTGTCAGCTTTTCTCTTGCTGGGGAAGCACCAGTCCCTGTGACCCGGGGAAATACATAGAGAAATTTATCACGATGGCTGCATGCTAGCTGTTCTGTTCCTTTGGAGGGAGGTTCCTATTTGCACACCTCCCTTCTCTTTTCCACTCATTCCAGGTAAATTAAATATTTTACGAAAGCAACTTTGGCATAGATTGAGTATCCCCAGGACACAGGGTTGGTCAAGTGACACTTTGGGCTTGCAACAGAAACCAGTGGGATCTGGTGGCCTTGAATATTTTGAGAGGTATTGCTTGAGATTCTGATTGGAAATAAGAGTTGGTGGATTTGGTGAAATGACTAGGACGCCACCACTTACCTCACTTAAACTCACAAGAGTTCACTGAACTTGCAGCCTTCACGCTTATTTAGGCGGTTGTCAAGGTACAGAGTAAGCCCTGAGCCCTTCAACGTTCTGTTCCCTGTTTACATCCACAGAGGACGTTTAACGAAGTTATAAGGCTTATTATGACGCCTTAGTTTCCTTCAGTCTTGGAAACCAAGCAAGCCTAGGTTTCTGAGGTCATTTAGTTACCACTAGTCTTCAGCTGGGCCATATGTGCCAAGGTGCTTGGCCTTAGCAATTAATGGAGTTTGGGGGGCTGAGGAGTAACCTTTGGCACGAAACAGCCTTAAAATAGCCTGGAAGGCAAGGTGGCCTCTCTTCAGTTTTGTTGCATTAAAAAAAAATTCATTCTTTATGCCTTGTGTTATGCAAAAGAGATATAGGGTTATGTATTTTTTCATGACTGGCAGGCTTAGAGGGCTACAAAGGAGGCATGTATGTGTTTTGATGCAGATGGACAAAGGAGTCAATCAGTGAAGTCTGGAAATGTGTGGCAATTAGAAATAGTTTCTTCTTCAAGATTTTATGTAGTTTGGGACACCTAGTTACAAGGTCAGGAAGGTTGTACCTTTTTACCATTTATACATGTCTTTCAATGAGCCATGCTTTTTTGTTGTTGGCTTGGTGTGGTTTTAATATCACCTGTTCTGTTTCTCATGCAGTTTTTACCCAGATGCCCTAACCTATCAGCCACTTGATTGCCTTAGCTGTTAACATTGTTTATATAGACAGCATTGTTGTTGAAGTGAAAAGTTGGCCTTAAACCAAAGGGGCTCCCAAGAGCTCTGACTCCCCCACAGACACACTGTCTTACTGGTGTGCACCATATTGATAATCAAATCTGTAGGGTTTTATTTTCTTTGTTCTTTCTTCCTTTCTTTTCTTTTCTTTTTTTTTTTTTGTCATCTGGGCCTCATTTCTAAATTTGGCATGGCATCATTAGAATGGCCGATTACCGCTTTTTTACTGGGACTGTCACTCCCTGCAGTGGTATTAAGTGCCATTGTACTCATTTGACTAAACTTTTATAAAATATGAATAATTTTCTTCTTATAATTTGCTTCATAATATCAGAAGACATGTGGTGAATATTCTGTCTTACATGCTGAATGGGCCATCCTCAGTAGGCCTGAGCTCTTATTTCTCTTGTTTGGGCGATTATATGTAGCAAAACACAGGCCAGTATTTAAAACCTTGCAAGATGCATGTATTTCTTTGTGTTTTCATGGTGATTTGACAGTACTTTTCAGCAAAATGTCCTGAGCAGCTATCTACAGTTACTTTTTCCTAAAATCCATATTCTTAATCTTGAAACCTGCATTTGAGTTTTAACAATCGATGCGAGATCTGGTAATGTATGTTGCATGGCTTAAACTGTGAAATGGTTTGTGTACTTTAAGCTAAAAACTTGATGTCACAGGCATTGCTTAAAATGATACCTTTCTTTTGCAGGCATCAAATAACACAGGGATTTGTAGTTTTAAAGTCTTCATTGCAAAAGGCTCTCAAACTTTGGGTTTGGGAGGTGAACTTACTTGGCTGAAGTGATTTGTGTGTAAAGGGAGGAAATGTTAGTGAAATAGATTCAGCTGTGCTTACATCTCCTATTTCAAAGATTACTGACTTGACACTTATTTTTTAAATTGAGGTTGGTTCAGCTAGCTGTTGCTTAATTTTTAATATCTAAGCTATTCATTTCTTTTAAATCCATTCACTTTGAAAGAGTGTTCCATTTGCATGGTCTTTCGGAGATGAGAAAGAGCCGAGAAAGAAGAAAAACCCTTGGTAAAGGTTATAAAGTCACCCTTCTGCTTAATAACAAGGGCAGGAGTAAGTGGATTGGAAATATGAACAGCTTCCTTGATACATTGCCAAATTGTTTGCAATCTCTTGGATCTGAATGAATCAATCTAGTATATTACTTTTAGGTTGTTAGATTTAATACTCCACATTCTGTCAATGTATTCAGTTTATTCTCTTTTGCCTTAAAGATTCAGGACCGTCTTCTTGTCTGTGGAAGTTTTAAAAATTTATTTTAGTAGAATATACAACATAAACACACTAGTAATGAGTCAGGGTTTTAAAGTGATGATAGAAATTATTTATTACAGAGATGATTTGGGGATTACAAAGAGGGAAACTGAGTCCTTTATCCTGTTAATAAATAATTCATATATTTAAAAGATCTTAATAAAAGAAATTTGAAAGAATTAGTTGTTAGAATGATGTCTAACAACAATTAGCTGTCTGTCTGCATTGGTATCATACTGTATGTGCTGCTAATTGGTGGTATTGGGGCAGAAACATGGTTGAATTGTTGGCCAAGGCCAGAGCTGGTTGTAGCACATGTTGGATGCTTGTACCAGTGGGGTAAGAGATTCCAGATGGCATTTAATTTCAGTGATTAAATCTACAGCATTTGCCCTCATAAGCACATTAATATGCCTGAGATTTGTACAGATTTCCTCTGGAACCTCACTGCTGCAATTGAGGGCAATTTTAGTGAGGCCTCAGCTTTGAAGGCAGACAGACCTGGAAGTGCAGTTTCTTGCTGACCAAGTTACTAAGAACTAATGCAAACTTTTTTTTTTAAGCTTCACTTTCCTTAACATAAAATAGATAGGCACAATAATAACAATTTTAAAAGATCAGTGTAAGAGTTTGAGGATTTAGGTCAAATTTTCTTGATGACCTGTTTGGCTAAAATATTTGCTTTTGTTTATTTATCATCCAGGAGTAATTTTTTCTACACATTTTATGTTTTAAGGATTTTTGTAATTCTTAGACAACTGACTATAAGTTATCTAACATGGTTAACTATTTAGAACATTTTGAAGTTCTGACTAGATGTACTAGTCTTCTCTGAAATCCAAGTACAAAATTCCAGACAGAACAGGGCACCTTTTCTGTCCTACTGTAACTGAAAATATAGGCCATTTTAATCTTTAGTACATATAAGTGTCAGATGGGTTTTGGGCCACTTTTCTGCCCCTTTATTGCAGATTTCTAAGCAAAGTGCCTTTAAATGCAGAATACTTTCATGATTTGGGCAGGGGGGATTTCCCCTCACAGAGATAATTGAAGGTAGGAAAGGGTTTTCAGGGCCTCTGTGAAGCCTGCTTTTGAACCCTGTCACAACCCTCTAGTACATTTTACCAGGCCCTAAGTGTAGTGATTTTGGAAGGGAAGAAATGAAATCATTTTGAATTCTCCACATATCAGCATGAAAATGTACATTGTTTCTGCTCTCAAGTTTGGGGGACAGTTCCAAGGCATTGCTGGAAACCATGGCTTCAAGCTGCAAGTCTGTTTTAAAGTTAGAATTTGAGCATCTTTTGACCTTGTTTTTGTTGTTATTGTTCATTCAAAAGGTACGTAGGCTGGCTGTACAGTAGTTATGACTTCTTCATACAACTTAGTTTGTCTCTGTGGTTCTTAGAGAACATCTCTAGTGTGTTTCTCTTGCTTATAAAGTAAGCTGTGCTGGAGTGGTTTCTGTAGAGCTGTCTCTGGCTGCTCCCCCTGCTGCTTTATCTCTGCCAATGCATAACACTTGCTATGGCTGCTGATCATGTTTACCTAAAGGAATATTGCAAGCTTATAGAAGCAGCTCAGTCTTAAGACAATCCTAGCCTGCCACAAGTATGTGATGCCTCAGAACAATTCAGAACCTTCACTAAGAAGGAAGCTGTTAGTTGGAAAAGGCATTTTGATTTATGGAGTAAAAATAGTGACAGTTTTTAAAATATTAAAACATAGAAAAGGATAGTTAAGAGCTATTATATATGCCTAAATAAAAATTTTAAGAGAAAGTCTCTTGTATAGCTATAGAAAATCAACTCCTTAATATTTTTAGTTAGGTTTCTGCTCTCCAGACTTCTCAGTAAAGGCATGTTTGGGAAAGATTTTTTTTTATTTTACATTTGGAGCCTTAGAGTGAACATGAAGGATTTGGAAACCTTTTTTTCTATAATCATTGTTTAAAAAAAGTCTTCCTTTGTTTTTAAGTAGTCATAGAAAGAAGGAAACACTTGTTTAAAATTTGGAGCTCAGAGGACAGCAATTGAAAGCCGAGTCTCTCCTTCCAACATGTGAGTCCTAGAGATCAAACTCGGGTCATCAGGCTTGGTGGCAAGCACCTTTACCCAATGAGCCATCTCATCAGCTCTGGAAATACTTTCAATGGGCATTTTTGTTTCATTGGCTAGCAAGTTTCTTGACTTTAACTTAGAAAGATGCTAAAGTACCAAAAGAAAGAAAGAAAACATTGTCTACATTGTTATTAATTCGGCTCCTATGTCAGCATTCAGTGTGAGTTTAAGTATCTCTAATATTTAATTATAAAACACTTCTCATTTTTATGATTCAATAAATTAGTCATTACTAGAAATATGCTTTGGGTTATTACCTATTCGTTTAATTTATAGGAAGATAGTGGCTTTTATGTCAGAGAATTATGAACTATTTCTTTTATTAAAAAAAAATTCAAGGGCCGAGTGTGGTGGCACACACCTTTAATCCCAGCTCTTGGGAAGCAGAGGCAGGTGGATATCTGTGAGATGGAGGCCAGCCTGGTCTACATAGCGAGTTCCAGGACAGCA